ACGAAGTACACTGCTGAGAGGAGCAGCGGGCGGGTCAGGAGAGGTCTGCCACGCCATGTGGTCAACTCCGGGGCAGGCAGGAATCGAACTCATGCAGAAGTGGCTTAAGCTTCTTAGTCTGTGCTTTAACCCGCTGCGCCACCAGGAGGGCCTCTGTCCATTTCTTGACTGGATTCTTTACATATTGTTTCATTGAGTCATGTGAGTTTTTGTAGATTTTTGTAATTGGTCCCTAATACAGCTGTTAAAATTTTCTCCCAATCAGTGGGATGTCTCTTTGTTTTGGTTAATGTCTCTTTTGGTGTACAGAAACTTTTTGGTTTGATATGATCCCAGCTGTTTATCTTTTCCTTTACTTTCTTTGCTTTGGAGGATGAGTCTTTAAAGATGTTACTGAGATATGTGTTATGTAGCATTTTACCTATATTTTCTTTTATATATTTTATGGTTTCAGGTACTATGCTTAATTCTTTTATCTGTTTTCAGTTGATTTTTGTGCATGGTGTGAGGTAGTAGCTAGTTTCATTCTTTGGCATGTGGTGGTACAGTTTTCCCAGCATATATACAATGTTCTGTTGCATATTTTTTGCTCCTTTGTCAAAGTTTAGTTGTCCATAGATGTGTGGCTTTATTTCTAGGCTTTCTATTCAATTCCATTGGTCTGTATGTTTGTTTTTGTTCTAGTACCATAATGTTTTAATTAATTATTATGGCTTTGTAGTATGGTTTGAAGTCTGGGAGTGTGACAGTGTGATAACTCCATTCTCCTTTTCCGTCAGGAGAGCTTTGGCTATTCAAGTTTTTTTTGTGGCTCCATATGAATTTCATCAATATTTGTTCTATTTCTTTGAAGACTGTCATTGATATTTTTATAGGATTGTGTTGAATCTGTAAATTTCTTTCAGTAGGATGGCCATTTTAATAATGTTAATTTTTCTAATCCATGAGTAGGGGATGTCTTTCCATCTCTTTGTGTCTTCTATTTCTTTTAGTAATGTTTATAATTGTCTTTGTTTAGGTCGCACACCTCCTTGGTTAAGTTATTCCTGGATATTTGATTTTTGTGTGTGTTGAATTTGTATCCTGCTACTTTACTAAAATTGTTTAATATTTTAATTAGTTTTTCTGTGGAGTTTTTAGAGTTGTCTATGTATATTATCTTTGAAAATGGTGATAGTTTTAATTCTTTCCCTATTTGAATTCTATGCATCTCTTTTTCTTGTCTTATTGCTCTTACTAGGACTTCCAATATTATATTGAAAAGCAGTGGTGAAATTGGACATCCTTGTCTTGTTCCTCATCTTAAAGGAAAGGCTTTCAGCTTTTTACCTTGAGAATAATATTGGCTGTGGGTTTGTCATATATGGCTTTTATCACATTAAGGTATGTTCCTTCTAACCAAAGAATTTTGAGGGCCTTCATCATAAATGGATGTTGAACTTTTTCTTTGGAGAATTCTGATGTCAGCCTGATTGGTTTTCTTTAGTGTAGGTTATGTTTTTTCCCCCTCATCAGCTTCATTAATTTTTCCTTGTCTTGGATTCTTGAAAGCTTTACTGTTGTGTATCTTGCTGTAGTGGTAATTTGGTATGCTTCTAGCTTCCTTTATGTCTATTTTCATCTCCTTCTTCTTCATGCTTGGGAAGTTGTCTTCGAATATACCCTTGAATAGTTTTTCACTTCCTTTGTCTTCTCACCTTCTGGGATTCCTATGGCTCTTATAGTTCCTTTCCTTTCAGACAGTTTTTTGTTTTTTGTTTTTTTTTTTAAGATTTATTTATTTATGCATACAGAACTGGGGTACAGGCCAGAGATGAGGGGTGGTAAGAGGCTTCACTAGAGACAGAGCCAGGAGCAGAACAGGCTGACTGATGAAGTACACTGCTGAGGGGAGCAGTGGGCAGGCAGGTCAGGAGAGGTCTGATGTGCCATGTGGGTCACCTCCGGGGCCAGGGATTGAACTCGTGCTGAAGTGGCTTTAGCTTCTTAGTGGGGAGCAGAACAGGTAGATCCATGAAGTACACTGCTGAGGGGAGCAGTGGGCGGGTCAGGAGAGGTCTGCCACACCATGTGGTCACCTCCGGGGCAGGCGGGGATCGAACTCATGAGGAAGTGGCTTTAGCTTCTTAGTGCTGTGCTTTAACCCGCTGCACCACCAGGGAGGGCCCAGATAGTTTTTAAAGTGTTTCTTCATTCTTTTTCCTTTAAACTTCTCTTTCCTTTTCATTTTTGGTTCTCTTTATATCTGTATCTTCAAGAGTGCTGATTCATTCTTTCATTTCATCAATTCTGTTTTTGTTGCTTTCCCCAGAGTTCTTTAGCTCCTCAATTAATCTTTTAATATCCTGTATTTCCTTCTTTAAAGACTTTCAATTTCATTCCTCAGTTCATTAATTATATTTCTCATATCATTCTATTCCTTTTCTTCTTCTTTATGTTTTTTTAACATGATGATTCTAAATTCTCCAGCTGGTAGGTAGAGTTCTTCCATGTCATTGTGTTTTGTTCTGGGGGCTGATTTTCTTTTTATGGTGTGTCCTTCCCTATAGGACTTGTTTGGTTATTTGTATTTTTCCTTCTTCCTGTTGTTTATTTTCTAATTTGTTCTGTGCTTTGGGCCACTGTGCCACAGGTACCGGCGGGCATCCATTTGGGGTGCTCCTTCTGGGATGTTGAAAACTGGTGGCCAGACCTAGACTAAGAAACAAATCTGACATCTGAGCACATGGGCACAGGGCTCAAGGGCTCACGCAATGGCCACAACACAGTTGTCACACCTTAAAGCTGCAGCCAGTGTCCCAGGGCTGAAGGCTCATCCGTGTGAGGCCGTGGCAGGCTCCTGCAAAGAGCAGGTATGGCCATCAGATGCCCTGGCAGGATGCACCTCACAGGTGGAAAGTTCTGGTACAACTCATGGTTTCCCATCTCCACAATCTGGATTAATTTTGTAGTTGAGACTTTAGGAAGCTGAGGTGAGATGTCCTTTTCCCTGGCAGTATCCAGGCCAAGGGCTCTAGGTGTGGCCTGTGATGTGGCATGTGAACCATGCCACTATGAGCTGGATGGGACCTGGACACTTTTCTTGTTCTGTCTTTGTTGTCTTTCCTCCGCAGTGTCTCTGTTCACCTTTGCTCCTGACTCAGAGGCACTCACCTTGCGATGCCACGTTATTTATTCTGGTCCCTAAGGCAGCACAGCCAAGTCTTGGATTTGTGTTTTAGTCTCTGAATCAGGCTTTATCCTCTTTTGTTTCAGTCAGTTCTTCACGGACTATTCTGGATGCAAATGAAGAATTTAAGTCCATGTCGGGGACTATCCAGTTGGGACGGAAGCTCATCACAAAATATAATCGCCGAGAGCTGACGGACAAACTTCTCATTTTCCTTGCCCTGGCCCTTTTTCTTGCCACAGTTCTCTATATTGTAAAAAAGCGACTCTTTCCATTTTTGTAATGTCTGAGAGCTGCCAGCTTTTGCCCTTTAAGTTCTGTGTCAGGATCCAGCCATGCTGCTTGAGCTCAGGGTAGGGTGGCCCCCCACGCTGCTCCAGAAACTCAGCAAGTGGATCAGAGACACGGCTGCCCAGGTTGCTGCAAGTGACTGGCTAGTAAAAGGCAAGCCAAACAAGGAGAAGGTGGCCTGTTGTGGGGACCCCAAGAGCCAACGGCACTCCTGGTTACTGCTGCGTGGGCTGGCAGGCTAGCCTCTGCGATTCTGTGGTGCTTCTCTGTCTCCCTCTCCCTCTGTGGCCTGGAGGCCAGATCTGGTGGAGGGAAGAGAGAAGGAATGCAAGAAGGATGGTTAAACACTCATGTTCATTCCTTGAATAAACTGGACCATGTTTAATAAAAAGAAGTGCATTTGTTTTGTAAGGTGGTCCCCTGGGAATGTGTGTATCTGTTTTTGATGTCCAGGTTTCTAGACCACAGACTTAAATAGTTTATTGTGCACAACAAAGAATTACTAAGCAGCAGCCACATGCAGCATGTTACAGATCCTGCCCATGGTTCACTTTGGTAAAGCAACATGATTTCTCCGTAAAGGAGCAGGAAGAACAGGACCCCACAGACTCTTCTGATGGGTAGTCGGACATGTTGCCATTGTGCTGCTGGCCCACTACCCTGCAGGCTCACAGCAGGAGCGTGCAGACAGCCCCCACTGCAGGCGCCTCACACTGACAGCTTCTCCTGTTTCTATGCACAGCAGCCGGGCCTGGCCTGGGTGTGCAGTGTCTCAGGGGCTGGCCCACGTCTCTTTGAGGTTCAGAGCTAAATATAACTAAGGAGAGCGAAGTTAGTGATAAGCTGAGGCCTGTCTGGGCTTGAGTCCCGTTGAGGCCAAGGGGATAGGGTCAGGGTTGGGCCAGATTGGGAGATGTTGGTGATCCCTGTGCCTTGGGCCTGGCTGACATGGTGGCTGAAGTCCCCACCTCCCCCACTATTTATAGTCCCAGAGGCCCCAGGAAGGGTCATGTGAAGGCAGCGGTGGGGAAAAGAAAGAAAGTGCCCTGTGAAGCCTGGCTCTGACCTGGACAGAGTCTTGGCCTTACTCATGGACACATGACAGTGGGCAATTCACCTCAGTCACAAGCCTCAATTTCCCCACCTATAAAGTGGTGGTAATAGTCCACACAGACCCTCATAGGGTCAATTAGAAGGTAAAGTAGCAAATGCCTCATGGAGCAGACAGACTCAGTTCCAAAATGCCGCTGCAAAAAGCCAAGCGGCTTCAAGGGAAGCTGGCTTGGCCGCTGGGAGTTCTGTCGCATGTTTGAGCAGAGGGTACAAGAGTTAAGGCCACAGGAAGTGGCAGTCATCGGGACCAAGTTAGAAGCTGCCTGCCTAATGAGTAGGCTCTGAGTTAAAGTGTGTGTGTGTGTGTATAAACTCTTTATATATAGCAGCCTTTAAACAATTTCAAACCCCTGAAGACAGCACAAATTGTACACGCTTGTGTCTTATTTATAGTCAAATTAAAACAGAATAAAGCACAGATGGGAAATTCCCACTCAGATTCCAGCTGTAAGTGCAGCAGATGGATGTCATCAAGTAAAGGATTTTCTTGTCTAACATTTTTCTGTACTACTCCCTGTTAATTGTCAACATCCTCCTCAAAGTATAGAAATGAATGGACTTGGTACTCCCTAAAAATTTTCCCTTTAACACTTTATTACTTTTATTTGCCTGCTTCACAAAATATGGTTGGAGGAGACCCGTTTTGAAATGTCATTGGTAACGTTTTATTTTCCACCCTCAGTCAGCTAAACGCAGTGAAGTCTTCCCCCAGCTGCTGAAGAGGCCATGTCCACATTCGACCATGAGGGGGCAGTGTTCACACTCACTGGGAGTTTGTTGCATGTGGACTATGCCTCTTAGTCTCTATGAAATTCACTTAGGATTTTTTTTTTTTTAAATATACCAGATTCAAAAAAAATGCTCTGGAAAACATTTTATAGATGTCCTTAATTTTCACAGATTATAAGCAAAACAGTTTATATTCTACATTTAGACTAGCTGCCTAAGAATTAAAAGTGGAACAGCCCTCGAGATCTTTCATTCAAAAAGTGTTTACTGAGTATTTACTTTGTGCCAAACACTCTTGGGAACTCACAGTGAACAAAACAAAGGACAGACAGTATGCAACTGACAGTATGTGGGGAGATTGGAGAAATGATAATTAACTTGTAAAGTCATTTGTTAAGTTAGAAAATTCATGTTTGGTGGGCCCTCCCTGGTGGCGCAGCGGGTTAAAGCACAGCACTAAGAAGCTTAAGCCACTTCTGCATGAGTTTGGTCCCCGCCTGCCCCTAGGAGATCCACATATTGTGGCAGACCTCTCCTGACCGGCCCGCTGCTCCGCTCAGCAGTGTACTTCGTCGATCTGCCTGATCTGCTCCCCACTCTGTCTCTGGTGAAGCCTCTTGCCGCCCCTGAGTCTCTGGCCTGTACCCCAGTTCTGTATGCACAATAAAGAAATCTTTAAAAAAAAAAAAAAGAAAATACATGTTTGGAGTAAAAAACAGGCTAATGGAGATGTGGAGTGTAGGTGTGGAGCAGGTTTGCAGTATTAAGTAGGATGATCAACGTTGCCCTCACTGAAGAGGTAAGCTTGGATAAAGACTTGAAGCAAACCCATAAGATCAAAGGGACACGTGGAACAGGTTCTACCCTGGAACCAGTTAGAGCAAAGGCCTAGCGTGGGAGCCTCTCAGCTACGGCACCCGGGATGCTGTGAGTTTTTTAAAATTTTAATTTCAGGATTTACATTTTTGCTCTCCCATATGCATATGTATTCCACTCATCCTCCATCAAACCACCTGTCCCCACACCTCACCTGCCTTCCACCCCCTGTGCCCTGTGGTAACCATTATATTCTTTTACTGAGTTCAGATACTGTGATTTATAATAAGAAATATGTATTTGGTTTTGCTTCCTCTTCTTGGCTGAGAACTCCTAAAATCCTTGGAATTTCCTGTAACGAAAATAATAAAGGTTATGTCCATGCTGTGATTTATTTGGGGGGGCTATACCTAAACATGGGGAGTGGTTGTTCATGAAATCAATCATATGATTAGGGGGCAGAAACTTTCGGTCCTGCCTCTTACTTCCAGGAAGGGGAGAGGGATTGGAGATTGAGTTCAGTCACCAGTGGCCAGTGATTGAATAAATCATGTCTATTAATGAAGCCTCCCTAAGATGGCCCTCCCAAAGAATGGGGTACAGAACTCTCCTGGAGATTGAGGGAGAGTATGGTGTGTTGAGAGCAAGCAAGCTCTGTGCCTTCCCCCACATCTTGCTCTGTGCAGCTCCATCTGACTCAGCTTTCATAATAAACCAGTAATCTAGGAGAAGAATGTTGCCCTGAGTTTTGTGCATCACTCTAGGAAATGAATAAGCCATGGAGAAGGTGATCATGGGACCCTTTGGTTTGTAGCTTGTGTTCAGAAGCACAGATGATTAAATCTAGACTTGTGATTGACTATGGTGTGAGTGGGGCAGTCTGGGAGGATCGTTCACAGTCTCCAGGTAGGTGTTGATGGAACTGCCTTGAATTGTTTTAACACCCTGTTGGTTTTGGGTGGGGAAGACCCACCTATGGGACTTGGGTGTGGAGTCAGAGCATGGCTGGCATGAGGAAGAGCAAAGAAACCAGTGTGTACTCACACCTGTGAGGAGTCCAGAGGGACAGTGGGGGCAACATCACCAAAGGCCTTACAGTTCTTTGAGAGGATTGGCTTTGGACTCTGAGGGACATGGGGTGCACTGGAGGACTTGGAGCAGACGTGTGACTTGGTAGCAAAGTGAAGGGGACGTGGGCCGAGCAGCGAGACCAGGTAGGAGGACAGTTGCCACTGTTCAGTTGGCTGATGGCAGTGGAGATGTGAGAGGGCCATATTCTGGGTATATTTTGAAGATAGAACAGGTTTTGGGTCTCCTGAAGGAATGGGTGTCATTCTTGAAGCCATGAGAACAGACACTGAGGTTTGGGGCTCAAGTAACCAAAGGAGGAAGAAGATGAGGAGGCAGGTTTGGATACAGTGTGTGAAATGTCTGTTACACTCGAGTCCATGGCAGGTAGGCAGATGGGGCTGGGGGGATCAGTCAGGGCTGGGAAGTATACATTTGGAAGTCTCTGGTATATAGATGTAATTTAAAGCCATGAGGCTGGTTGAGGTCACCCAGAGGCCTGAGTAGAGACAGAGAATTAGTCATGGCCATTGATGTTGAGAGCGAGAGGGCATGGCCAGAGAGGGCATTCACACTAAGGACACTTCCCAGAGAGCCTGGCTGGGGTGTTAATCCCCCCAAAAGGAGGTTTTTGGATCTTTGAGAGTCTACATTCCTAGACGAACACTGTATGAATTCACTCATGTGATGTATAGAGAAAACAAACAAACTTAGATGAACTAAATAAAACAAAAATAAACATTTGGATGTTCCCAGAAGGGCAGGGGTAAGGGGGTGGGGCCCATCAGGACAAAGAGGAAGTGGTTTGGTGAAGGATGATGTTGGACATTTAGCATGAACTGCTGTAGAAACTACACATGCTGGTTTCAATGATGCACCCTGGAACCCTGGATCCCATCCTAATATAATGTTACTTCAATAAAAAAAACTCATGTGGAATATTACTCAGCAACCAAAAAACAGAAACACATGTCTTTTGCAGCAATTTGGATGGCGCTGGAAAAGATCATGCTTAGTGAGATAAGCCATAAAGAGAAAGAAAATACCAGATGGTGTCACTCATAGCAGGAGTATAATGGACCAGGCGAGAAAATAATAAGAATAATGAACAGCCATATACCAGAGACATTCTGTGGGGTGGGGTGGGGAATGGGATCCAAAACGGGGGGCTGGGGAAGTGCACGGGACTATGGTGATGGCACATGGGTGATTCGGTGATGGGAAACCCACGGGGATTACAATTGAGATGAAAAAAAAAAATGTACAAAATGATGTAAAAATAAACTGTTAAAAATAAATTTTTAGGGCCCTTCCTGGTGGCGCAGGGGGTTAAAGCACTGCACTGAGAAGCTAAAGCCACTTCCGCAGTTCGATCCTGCCTGCCCCGGAGGAGACCACATGGCGTGGCAGATCTCTCCTG